TGATTTTACCCACCCCCTCCTCCTCGCCGCCACTGTCCATTCTTTCTTCACCTCCTCTGTCCTCAAAGTAATCAGTAGGAACTGAATTTCTTCTCTTATTTCTTTGCCTTTTCTCTCTCTCTCTCTCTCCTTCCTTGCTCATATACTCATTCAATCCAAAAGGGTGCCCTGAGCTCCTACTCCCAATCTCGCAGAGAGGAGCAGGAAAAGAAGAGACAATTTGACAGAGCTCCACTAGGCAGCAGCTTAAGAGAGACGAGAGAGACACAGGGTATGTGTGAACGGCAAGAGTGTGAGGGGTGGTTGGTGCACGGTCAAGTGACAAAGCAAATGAGATGGTCAGTGAGCATTATCAAGGTGAGGTTGCAACTTTTATACCCTTCTAGACCATGGGACTCTAAATGCAGGGTACATCAAACCCACCCTATGCCTGGCCATCCATTAAACTAATGTCCCATGTCACCCCTACTCTTGTTCTCGCTCCCTCCTGTATTCTAACTCATGCCTCCTGACCTCCTCCACTTCCAGCCTATCTGCTGATTTTTTAACTTGAGAGAATTCTACCTCCCTGGAAGGCAAGCACTGCTCTTTCTCTTTCTATTCACCCTCACGCTGTTCTACTCTTGCCTGTTCCACAAAACTCCAGCTTCTAAAGTATTATCATGGGGTCGACCTTCCCCCTTGAAAGGCTTAGTGTTTTCTTTACCCTACAAGGGGCAATTGAGGAATGAAGAACACAGAGAAGACTTCATTATCAGGAGGGCTTCACGGATATCTATGCAGACATATGGACTAGAACAACAGGGAAGGATACCCCAGCTGCTGAGACCAAGCGTAGCAAGTGCTTGGAGTTGGGAAATTAAACACATGTAGACATCAAGACATCAACTCACCTTGTTGGAAGAGAAGGCATTTAGAGATTCATGGAGAGAAGACAAAGTGTTAGAGGAAGTGTCAGATAGGGACTGGAATATCACACAACTAACTAGAGGCTATTCCTGTTTCAAGAATATTCGTCCTCCAATCTGTTGGGTGGAATCCAGGATGGCGTTAGGTATGAAGACTACCTGGGAAATGTCCCCTGACTCTGAGTAAGGAGGACCTTGCAGCAATGTGCCAATAGAGAGGAAGAAAAGACGGCTCTTAGAAGACCCAGAGCAAAACCTCACTCATCACTTAGCGGTGGATGAAGAACCAGAGAATGCCAAGGACTGAAGTGTGGGATTAAGGTACCTAGGAAGAGAGTAGTGTCGCTGGGTGAGTGTGTAGGTGAGGTTTGGTCTGATTTCAATGTTATGCATTTTGGAGACAGAAAGGAAGACGTAGAGCAATCTGTGTTTCACGGGGCACTAGAATTCAGCAATGGATTTGGAGCTTGTTATTCTAGACCTATCAAAGTAGAAGTGGAAACTTTGAAGAAGAATATGGAGTGAGCAAAAACCAGCCATCAGGAGGACCCAAACTGATTTCCTGTCTAATGTTAATGTTGCGTTTCTCCCACTTATACAATACTCCCTCAGAAGGTGAGATGCTTTCATCTATCTGCTCATCCCTCCATCCCGCCATCCACTTGGCCGTCATCATATCCAGGAAGTACTGATGGTCTATTATGGGTGAGCAGTACAGTAGATACCATGATGTAAACAGAGGTGATACACTATTGAACAATCAGCATACATTAGACACCAACCAGTTAGCATGGACACATGCCGTGGCATTGGAGTAAGGTCCCGGGGGACCATTAACCCTTTAGTTCTGGATCAAGGGTCAGTGCGAGAGGACAGGACATATGGACGGCAGGGCATGGAGGACCCTTGGGGGTTTGGACGGCAGCAGCTTATCAAGCAGTCAGTGTCCTAATTGATCTACACCCACTGAGTATGAGCCCGGCGACAAACAACGATGGACAATTCAGACCTAGCCTTTATATTAATAAGGTCTCGAGTTCTTAAATTTAAATTAATTAA